CAAAATTCAATGGCCAAGTTATTGCCCTTTTCACTGAGTGTTCCCGGTCTTGCCTTGAATGATTGTCCCAACCTGGTCTTTCTTGCTGGTTCTGTTACAACTCTGCCATCCCTGTCATGACTCTGCACACATGTATATGTCCGAGACCTCTCTGTAAAATGCTGGGTTTATTCATTCTTCTATAAAATTCTGAATAGAGATGTCAGTCTGTTAGAACCATTTAACCTTACGGGCAGTATAAGCAGCAGGGATTCATTAACTGACTCAAAAATCCAGGCAGGCAAATATATACCACATACACACATAGGCACTCACACCTGTGTATATACCTTAGATCACAAATTCCACATCTTCACTGTTTTCATCTATTCTGAAAGCATATGCTTCAAGGTCAAGTTAGTAAGATGCTAATGGGATCTGTCCTTTCTGGAAATGATGATGATGATAAAAAAAAACCCAAAAAGCTCAATGCTGTCCAGTCGATTCCGACTCATAGTGACCCCTCCTTGGGTTTCTGACATGGTATCTGTATGGAAGTAGATTGTCCAGTCTTCCTTCCTAGGAGTGACTGGTGGATTTGAACTGCCAGCTTTTTGGTTAGTTTTGAAAATGCCTTAGACGCTACGCCACCAGCGCTCCCATGATGAGGGTACCCCTCCTTTATTGAGAACTTCACTTGGTGCCAGGTGTTATACTGGATCTCAGGTGATGGAGCTGAGTGGATTTAGAGAAGGTCTAGTGCGCTTGACTGGGTGTGTTTCACATTCAGCACTGCTCCACCCTTACCCTGACCCACTGCGAGTGACCTGCTTCTCCACAATTGGCCGTTTCCCAGGTCACATCCGTTCATTCATTAATTTTTTTCATTCATATTCATTCATTCATAAATCCAGTATTTGCTGAGTGCCTTCTTTGAATCAGGCTCTGCTGGGTTCTAGACTTACGAAGTCCCAACCCTACAGGTACTTCTGTACTTCTGAAGAGATAGCTGTGTGCATGGACAGCTACAATGTGAGCTTTGTGGTGCTTGAGGGAAATGAAAGATACTACTGGGACGCAGAGGAGAGCCTCCTAACCCAGAGGGCAGCGGGGAGGTCAGGGCAGGCTTCCTGGAGGAGATGATTCATGGCTAAGTCATGAAGAAGGGGTAGGAGTTAGCCAGCCTAGGCAAGGAAGGGCTGTTTCAGACATCTGGATTTCTTTATATGCTTGGCTTCTCCACCCATTTTCCTGTCAGCTGCCATTATAGAGGAGACTGAGACCAGCAGGTGCCAGCCACCCTACTCGTCTGACACCATGCCCCTTCCTCTTTCTTCTCTTAGACGTCCTGAATCTTAGGTTTTAAGGAATCTCCTCTGTGTTGACTTGCTTTATCACTTAGTTAATTCCTTCAAAAGCATTTATTGAGAGCCTCCTCGGTGCACAGCACCACGACTACAGGATGTCCTGGTCCCTACCGTTGTGATGCCCTTACCCTCTCCGCACCAGCCACAGTATCTACAGATTTTTTGTCCTTTTCCAGAACTGGACTTCAGCTTCATTTCCACCTGAAGCAGTTGCAGATCAGCCTCCTCTTGGTCAGACACTTCCACTAACGCTCTTCTTCTGGCTTCCTCGTCCCTCCTACTTTCTCTGCTATTTTGCCTCTTCACCTTCTTTATCAGCTCTCCAAGTTCCTGAAGGCAGGGACTGTGCCCACATCTTTGCCCTAACCTCCCTGTGGTACAAAGGGGAGCGGAAGGGACTTTTCAGTAATGTCGAGTATGCGGCGTGCTTACTGCTCATGTTTTCCATAGGGTTGTCTCTGTTCCTCTTACTGTTGGAAGGTAGATACTGCTGTCTTCAGAGGTAGTACTGCTGATTTCATAGGTAAGGTAACTTGGGCTCAGGAAGTCTAATGTAGCTAACGAGCAGCAGAGTCCATAATCGAACTTAGGTCTCTCTGGTCCCAAACCTCTCCTCTTTCCACCACACAGTGGTTTCTCAAATCCGGCTGCAGTGACCCAGGAAGTTTTTTAGAATTCTGATGCCTGGGTCTTCCCCCCAGGGGTTCTGATTAGTTGTTTGGGGGTGTGGCCTGGGCATTATGCTTTGGTTTTTGTTTTCTTTTTAGTTAAAGTGCCTGGGCAAGTCTATTGAGTCACCAGGGTTGAGATCCAGTACGCCCCACCGTGCTGCTCTAGGGCATGCACGCTGGTTGCGGTTGGTGGTGGAAAGGTATGACCCGAGCCATGTGTGCATATATCCATGTGATCAGACTGCAGGAATGTTATAATCAGGGATCTTCGGCCCTCCCTGCTGCATCCCTGTCCAGTGGTCCACTGCACCGAGCACGTGCGTGGCCAAGGGTTGTTGACTGTTTAATTGGCCTCTTGGGTCTTGTCTCATGCAGGGGACTGGCTGGGGCTTGGACTTGATCACATCCAGCTGTTCTCAGCCTCAGGGCATGTTGACACAACGGAGGAGCCTTATAAACACACTGAGCACACTTGCTGGGCTCCACAGCATTGCTGCATGACCTGGACCCGTCGCTAGTGTGGCCGGGGTGGGCCTCCCACACTTTGACAGCCCTGCCGGGGAGGGAGGGGGCCGCTCTGACATTCCCTCATACATGACCAGCAGTTGCTCGGGGAGCATTGGTGGCCCACCTGGTCAGTGAGGGTTGGCTTGTACGGTTCTGTCAAGGGCTCAGAGAGGTCAGTTTTTACCCTCATCGTACCCTCATCAGTAAGGGAACCGAGGCAAAGCTAGGTGAAATGATCTGGCAAGTAGTGGGTGCAGAACCCAGGTTGTCTGGTTCCCAGTGTGGTACCTCTCCCTTAGTCCAAAATGGCCAGTGGCTGGCCTCTCACATCAGGCCTGAACTGCAGTCACCAGCTTTGACTCCTTCTTTCCTGTTTCCTCCCACCACAGGAGCACTGGGACACTGTGGGTGTCACTTGCTGTCCCTGAGACTAGAGTTCTAGAGATGAGGGTTGCTGTTTCCTTCCAGGAAGTGGCTCAAAGACCTCCCTGATATGCCTGGGCTCTTCTGGACCTACTCAGGTGAATTGAAATTTCCTGGAATGCCACCCAGACACTTCTAGAATTTTCTCAGCCCCAGTCCCATCCCATAGTATTTATTATTCTATCATCATTGACTGAGCAGTAATTCTTTGCCAGGCCTTGATCTGGGCACTAGGGACATAGAAATAAGACACACATTCTGTGCCTGAGAAGCACAGTCTAGTAGACACAGCGTGCAAGTAAAATATGGCCCCCAGATCCCCTGCTTGATAAAATGTAGGTTCTTAGGCCCTGCTCTAGGCTCACTATTTCAGAATCTCTAGAGACTGGGTCCAAGAATCTGCATATTAGCATGTGTCCTCAGTGAATCTTAGTGCCCTGAGGTTTGACCACGGTAGAAGTGAGCCAGATGGTAGTAGCATCATGTCATGGGCAATGGGGAGCCTCGACTCCGAGCAGGGAAACTAACTGGGCCTGGGAACAGCTTCTTGAGGATGTCATGAGGAGGAACCAGGAGTGAGGCAAACGGGCAACTAGAGGATCATTTCTCTAGAGAGGTGACTCATGCTTCCTTTCTCCTTTGTATATTACTACTCATGTTGGCTTCAAGCAGAACATACCTGGATCACACGGCACCAGTGAGAACCTGGTTGGCTCTAGGGACCCTCCTGTTGATCTCTGCATATGACCACCTAGCTCCCAGGATGAACTCCTGTCCTTTTTACGAATCCCACGGTAGCCCCTTTTCAAATCAAACCGTTATTTCTCTTTAGGGAAGTGATTTGGGTTTGTAAGATTTGCCCCTGGAGGCTGGTTAGTGCCTGGGTGTGGAGGCCGAAGTTCTGCAGGATGACTGCTCAGGAGAGTGGCATAGAGGGCCTTCTCAGGCCGTGTGGCCAGGATGGCCTGGTTTCATCTTTATGACAAGAAGTTGGCTTATTAGGAGGGTGGGTGGAGGAGACGTGAGCAAGGAAATGACAACAGACAGGAAAATGATAGCATGTCGGGGTCAGGCTCCCGCTGAGCGTCTGCTCAGAACTTCTGGTGAGAGATGAGAAACGTGAGGTTCAGAGGGTCATGTGAAGCTCCCAAGTGATGCCCCACACACCGCCTCCAACTCGGGGGTGTGGAATTTGGGTTTTGGGACGAGTGCATTTTCTGCTTCACCATGCTGCCTCAGAGCATATATTTTTAATGGCCTGGGAACTTATTATTGAAAGGATTCCGTAAGAAACCTTTGGCAATCCATTCATCTCGTGGGACTGATTTCTTAATAGAGGCTTATGCATTTTCTTAAGACACAGCAGAACTTGTCATCTGTGTTTTGGAACTAAAACAAGACCACATCTGTGAAAGTGCTCTGACACATATAACATGCTACACTGTTGGTTCTCACAGTGTGGTCCCCAGGCAACGTGTAGTGGCATCACCAGGGAGCTTGTTGAAAAAGGGCCCCACGTCAGGTGCGTGAAACAGATTCTGGGGATGACACCTGGTTATCGGCGTTAGGCTCTCCAGACCATCAGCGGACCATTCTGACGCGGGCAGGTTCAGAACCCCTGCTATGCGTCGGGAAGGAGTTAGCCTCTGGAACCTCTGCTTTCAGCCACGGGAGGTGGCACGGGGAGATAGGAGCCTTGACAGCAGTGTCCCAGGCCCCAGGTGGGGCGGGTGAGATCATTTAAAAGGTTTGGCTTCCTGTTTGAAAAGCAGGGAAACTGTGTGTGCACGTGCGTGTGTACAGTATCATCACACTGCTCGAGTTTAGGAGCTCACACTGAGTGCGGCTCAACACGCCTTCAGAAAGCAATCTTTTCCTCCCTCTCCTGATGAGCGAAGCCCTCCTAACCTCATTTCTCTGTGTGCTGAAGCCAGATGCCTGCGGGCATCAACTGGTTTAAAATGAGGCAATCAATAACATGCTTTTTTTTCTCCACCTGCACCATCCTGCGGACTTTCTTATTAAATGAAAATGAAACGTGATTTATTGATAGGTTTGAAGCTTCAGGACTTTCTGGTGGACAATGAAACCTTCTCAGGATTCCTGCATCACAACCTTTCTCTGCCAAGGCCGACTGTGGACAGAACGATGGGAGCTGGCGTCCGTCTCTACAAGGTAAGCGTCTCTCTGGGCTCCCTCCGTGGGGCTGACGGCAGTTCCGTTGTGTGAGCACATGGAGAGAAACCATGCAAGCGCCATCTTTGCAGTGGTGGAAAAGGAGGCAGTCGGTTTCATTCCGCTTCACCTAATTTTATTCTTCTGCTCGGGCTGGCGTTGCCAGACCATCCAGAGTGTGGGATGTACAACCTGGCATCGTGGGCCTGCTGCTTGAAATAAAATGATTTCCCGCCTGTCGACTGGTGTTTGTGATGACTTCTCCCTAAAAGGGTCATGTTTTATGTTAAATTAAAATTTCCCCTATTTTTCAAGAATTTCACAATTCTGGAGACAATAACCAGGGCTAAGGATTATTGATCAGGAGTGCAGGTATCTTAAGATCCAAGACAAGGAAGTCAAAAAGCTTGTGCTTGTTTTAAAGATGGACACACACACACATACACACACACACAGATGTCAGGAGAATTTTTTTTTTTTTTTAAATTTTTGACACTAGGAAGTAATACTAGTGTTTATGTAGAATTCTAACTTTCAATTCTTAGAAAACTTCCTCCTACGTCATTAAGTATCCTGCAGCTCCTGGGCAGTAGGTAGCAGACTCCGATTGCGTGCTTATTGATTTCCGGAGAAGTTTCTCAAGTTTCTTCGGGCAGGAAGGAGAACTGCTTCCTCACCCAGTCTCATGTCTGCATGCTCGCTTGTCCTTATAATAAGCAGAAGTAGAAATGTTTGTGTTGGAAAATAAGGCTTTTGCTTCACATGATCTAGAATTTTTAAAATGAGAGACGTGCACTTACAGCTTGCCCTAATGAAGCTAGGAAAGTATACCTTGTGTTTACCAACTGGGTGGTTGTGAGATGGGCCGAAGGCAGCAGCAGGCTTTTGAAAATAGTTGCATTTAGCATGACTCTAAAAGCTCCCTGTCACATCCTGTCAGTTTAAAATAAGAGGACATGCTAAGGGGGTAGGTTTTGCATGGTAATGAGAGATGCTCTGTTGTCTGTGTTCTTAGCTGTAAACATTGATTGCCTGGCAGCAAGGGCCACAGAAAGGAGTAGAAGTGAAGTGTGCTTGCGTATCTGGCTGCAGGTGACAGTCAATGGCAACCATGGCAGGCCAAGTGCTCTGCAGTGTCTAGAAAGCTGCTCAGGTCTTGAGAGGCCTTTGGTCCATCCTTCATATGGGGCTGTGCCATGAGCAGGTCACACTGCACTAATTTCACCCAGGACATAGTAAGGAGATAATAAAGGATCTACACCGTTTGCTCTTTGATTCAGTAATACTTCCTGTCTATAATGGAGGGTCAACGAAGAAGGGGAAGGCCCTCAACAAGATGGATTGACACAGTGGCTGCAGCAGTGGGCTCAGGTCTAGCAAATATCACGGTGCTGGCGCAGGACCAGGCAGTGCTTTGTTCTGCTGCACGTGAGGTCGCTGTGAGTCGGAGATGACTCGACAGCACCTAACAACAACAACAAATTCTGAAATTGCTCGAAGTATTTCTTGTGTATCAATAAAATCTCTTCATCTACGAATAAATAGTATAATGTTTTTTCATAGTTTGGCCCAATCTCAGTCTAAGATATAAGTTCCACAAAAATTAGGGTATTTCTCTAATAAAAATTGTCCCAGGAGTTCAGACACTGGATTCCTATTAGGTGATCATCTGTCCCACTTTTGAGAAAAAGAATCGGTTCAGGATTTCCCACTGCAAGAGGGTCACGTGTGTACGAGATGATGAGTCAAACAACATCCAGGTTGCAGTGTCCTGTCAGATCATGCCTTGTGATATTCCCAAGTTCAGTAAAGAGACTCCAGGCATTGGGCTGTCACCATGGTGTCATGTTAAGATCTTCAAAGGTATACTGCTGTGAAGACCCCCAGCAGGCTTTGAGGAACCTGCTTCCCATCTTTGTAATAACAGTTTTGCTTGTCTCTTTCCATGAAATGTTTCCAGGTGTTTCTGCATGGATACCAGTTCCACCTGACCAATCTGTGCAGTGGATCCAAATTAGGAGAGGTGATCTATCTCAGTGACCAAGATGTTTCCAAGCTTTGCAGCCTGCCTAGGGAGAAGCTGGATGC